ACTCAACAACCATGGGTTGGTCTTGGTGTTTGGTGGTGTGAGCCCACCCCAGCACTACCCGTAACTCTGAGTCTAGCTGACTCACAGTCTGTGAAATCCAAACAGTTCTCCACTGTAACCACCCACCTTCCGAGTCCCATTCAAGCTCGAGGCTTGTCCTGTCTACAAAGTAACTCCAAGTCAAGTCCTCTGACTCAACACGTCATACTCAAGCGATCCACCAGGGAGTCCACTTCCTTCCCAGAATCATATCTGAGTCTCTCAATCTGGACACCTAGGAACATTTTCACTCCTCCTTTCTTTGATGCTCTGGAACCAAGCGCTGCCATTCCCTCCCGGGAGCATCCCTCCAGGCTGCCATGTCCCTGGTAACCCCTGCCTCATCCTCCCTGCCCTGGTACCTCTCCCTCCTGAGTCTGCCTGAGAACATGGACAGCATGGGGCATGGCTCTGACTCACAGCAGGTATCAGACCCCATTTCCTGCCACATCAAGTCTAGACTGTTCTGTCTCCCAGCAGGTGGGACCAGGCAGAGATGAGGAGAAAAGCCACTGGACTTGGGGTGCTTGGGTTCTAGTCTGGACGTGGTTTCTTACTGACCACATGGCCTTGGGCAAATGACCTTCTATCTCAATACCTCCCTTTTCTCATCACTGGAATGGGAAACCATGAGTAACCAGTTGCTGTGTGAGGGTTCTGACTCACAGCAGCCAGCCTCACTTGTGTCAGAGCAGAGCTCACCCTCAGGGTTTCCTATGCCAGGCCTTGCTTGCAGGCTATTCAGTGAGCTGTGTTGAATGCTCTTCCACTCATGCCACCCAAGAGGCCTGAAATCAGCTGCCGCTGAGTTGGTTCGAACTCATGAGCTCGACCCATGAACGCCAGAGAGCAGTGCTCCACTGGGCTTTGAGTGGCCAGGCCTTTCTTCTGAGGCACCATTGGGTAGATTTCAACTGCCAACTTCTCTGTTAGCAGCCGAGCTGTTTGCACCCTCAGGAACTCTCATCCCTCCACAAGCCTATTGTGAGGCTCAGGTGAAAAGGGAACAGTACAGCCATGGAATCTGGACCACCATCCCCTGAGCTCCTAGGCCGTCTGTCAGCTCCATTGCGCCCATCACTTCTCTGAGAACATTCCCTGAGGCAGGGCCTAGGATCTGAGACATCAGGCCAAACCTCAGGCCAAACCCAGGCCATATACACCCTCAGTTTCTCTCTGCAGCAACTCTAAGTTCTCATGTCTCTCTCTCTCTCTGTGCAGTTTCTGTTATTACCCTACACTTTTCTCTCTCTTGGTTTAAAACTCTCTCCTCCTCTTGTTCCCACACATGTCTACTCTTTCTCAAGCAATCAGGCTCCAGCTGATGGAGAAAGATGGGGAGAAAACTGGGGTCAAAACCTCTCCCCGGCTCCCCAACACCAGCCAGTCACAATGGTGAAAAAGCCTGACGTTTTCCCAGAAGGCTTCTTCTGTTAGGAGTCCCTTCCAGAGGTGGAGGGGGAGGAAATGGTTAGTATACTTGTCTGTTGACTAAAAAGCTGTGGATCAAGTCCTCGCAGAAGCAACACACAAGAAAGGCCTGGCGATCTACTTCTTAAAAAGCAGACGAAACCCTATGTACACAGCTCTGCTCCAGAACACAGGGCCAGGGAGTGCAATCACTGTGGCTGAGGTTTGTTATGGCCCTTGCACAGGATGGCGGCCTGGGGAGGACAGAGCTGAGAGGTAGACAGACAGAGAGAGCTGAGGGAAGGAGGGCTTGGGGAAGTCGATGCTGTTGGTAAATCCCTCAGCCTGCGACACAGAGCGAGCACCCCCTGGTGGCTAGGGGACAAACGCGTCTGTGCTGGAAGGAGGGCACCCTGGGTGCTCCTTCGAGGTGAGGACGGTGCAACTCCACCTCACATGTTGGACATGCCAGGAGGGGCCATCCTCGGAGAAGGACATCATTCTGCGGAAAGCAAAGGGTCAGCAAAGGAGAGGACCCTCCATGTGAAGGACTGGCCCCGTGAAAACATGTTGTTATTGTGTAGTGTCAAGTTGGAACCGGCCGGTAGCTGATGCCCCAGCAGGTTTTCGGTGGCAGTAAATTGCATGGGAGGAGATTGTCCATCTTTCTCCCATGGAGCAGCTGGTGGATTTGAACCATGCCTCTAGGTTGATAGTACAGCTCTTTACCAGTTGGCCACCAGAGCTATAATGAGCGTAAAACACAGGAGAAATTGTGACGATGATGCAGGATCGGGCAGGGTTGTGTTATGTTTTGTGTCTGGTCGAGTTGAAGCAGATCAATGGCACCTAACAACAACAACAACATAACAACTCTCTCTGAGATTTCCTGTGCTAATTCACTGCAGTCATGCAATTACCTTGGGTGTTTTGAGCAATACCTTTATTTCAAAATAAGGAAGCTGTGGTTTTAGAAATCTCTCCCTGTGTGCTGAAGGGTAAAGTGGGGGCACAGGGACTCTGTCCCCGCCCTGAGAGGATTTGCACACAAGCACCCTGGCAGATGGACTCAGTGGGTAGAGGGCCTCCCATTTCGATTTTGAATTTAAGGATGGGGTTGAGCCAGAGTCCTTTCTAAACAAGGTTTAGAATCATGATTGACTGTCCCTTGCGGCCTGCCCTGTCTATCCCCTTTACCCGCTCAGGGAAGCCCAAGGTCATTGGCTTCAGTAAACCAAAGAGATCTGAGAAGTAGGTGGGGACTCACGTAGGTGGGTAAGACATGGCACTCAGCTATAGAAAAAGACAGATGCAGGTCAAGTGCAGAGAAATTCTGTCGGACCACTTCCCCTTCCCTTGGCTGGACGATTGGAATGCAGTAAGTCTTCCAAAGGGACAGGTCTTTAAAATAGACCAACATGCATGTGGAAATTGGATACAAGGGAAATGAGAAAAGAAGAATCAGTGCCTTTGAGCTGCGGAGTTCGCGAAGAGCCTTGAATATTCATGGGCTGTCAAAAGAACAAAAACCATCCGTTTTGGAAGAGGAACAACTGGGGTGCTCTTTAGAGAGGAGGATGGTGGGGTTGACCTCACGCACTGGGGGCCCAGTGTCAGGACGGACGAGTCCCGGAGAAGGCAGAGGGTCAACGAAGGCGAGAAGGAGCTTTGAGGAGATGGACTGACACTGTGACTGCACAGCTCAGCGTAGCCGGGGGTTCTGAAGACTTGTAACGGTGCTTAGTGACAGCAGCCAATGTCTTCCTTAGAAGCCACGAAGGGGACACTTTGACTCACAACACGTCATCGAGGGAGACTAGACTCTAGAAAGGGATGCCATGGTTGGGAAAGGAAAGTCCCCCACAGACCAGGGGACCCTCTGTGAGATGAGCTGAGTCCATGCGTTACAACCCAAACTATCTTGAAGATGGCACAGAGCCAGGCCAGGTTTCCCTCCCCATTAGCCGCCTCTAGCCACTACACTGCCAGTGCCCGTAAGAACAGGGTGTGCCTTCTTGTGAAGAGAGAGACCCACTGAAATGAGGGCCGCTGTCCTTCTTGTCCCAGGCACCCCAACCCAGCAGCTGTGTCTAGACATTCTTGAGACTCAGAGACCCTGGGAACGCACCTAGGTCCACGGCAGAGGGGCCTTCTACCAACTACAGTCAGAAACAGAATGGGGTCCTGGGGTACATTCTCCCCGGGGACAGAGCCCTCCTCTGGGCGTCCAGGGGTCTGCTGACACCCCTCACCACTGCATGGAACACTGCAGTCCCAGGCAGACATGATCTTCACTGCTCTCAAATGGTCTGTTCAAAACTGCAAAGTCCACGTTTAAGAATTAACACCTTCAAGGTTAAAGGAAATGTAGATTGAGTCTAGCAGAGCCATTCTTCATTAAAACTATACACTAACTTGCTGACTTCACAGAAATCCACTGCCCTAGATTCGATCCAGACTCCTAGTGACCCCTCTATCAGGTCTCTAAGGCTTTGCGATCATCTTTATGGGAAGAGGCTGCCAAGGAGCACCGGATGGATTCAAACCACCAGCCTTACAGTTATTAGCAGCCCAACCCAACACATAAAACCTCGCACCACCAGGCTTCACAAAAGCACAGGCAGAACTGCACTCCATTCTCGCCCAAGGAAGTAAATCAAGTTGTCCAAACGTGAAGACACCTGTTAGAACGAATCCCAATTCCTGGGTTAAATCGTCCTTAAACACCCTGAAGGTGGTTCTGACTCGCGGCGGCCCTCCCCGGGCTTCTTGAGGCCATGGATATTCACAGGAAGATTGCACATCTTTTTCCAAGGAGGGGCTGGTAGAGTTGAACCACCGATCTTTGTGTCAGCATTCTGGCATGTTCTGCTCCACACCTTCAGGGCTCCTTGACTGCCCTTGGGCCATTAAACTCTCTCGACTCATTGCCTTGGAGTTGGAACCAACTCGTAGCTGACCCTCTCGCCAGTTTCCCGAAGCTGTAAATCGCGCACAGTGGAGGTGTGTGTGTGTGTGTGTGAGAACGTGTCCATCCCCCACCCTTGGAGCCTTTGTGGATTGACGCCGCTTGCCCTGAGGTTGGCAGTGCAACTCCTTCCCCAAAGGCAAACGATTTCTACCATCTGAAGAGAAGCTCCTTGACCCATCCTTAGATCATCACAAACAAGCCATGGTAAATTAAAAAGAAAATAAACACTTCTCTCTGTTGTGAAAATAACCTCTAAATCTAGAAAGTTGTTCCATGTTAGAACTCTGCCACCATGAGTCAGAATAGACTCGGTGGCAGCTGGAGAGTTAGGTTAACCATTTACCAGGAGGAGAGTCGCTGGGTGGTGTCAAACGTTACGTGCCTAACCAGAGGCACCATGGAAGAAAAACCTGGCCATTTACTTTCCCTCAAATCCACCCTAACGTCCAGTGGGGCCCAGTTCTGTTCCCACACACACAGGGTCCCCAGCAGCTGGGATGCACGAGTGGTGCCTGGCTTTCTGCGCAATGCTTGGTGGCCTCTCGTGTGGCCAAGTGGGTACACCGCCAGGTGTGCTTACCTGTCCTCGAAGCACACGGTGCACTTCCAGGCGCGGGTCTTCCTGAGGAACACGCGGCAGTCGGCGCACACTCGGTGGCTGCAGCCCCGGCACACGGCGCCCCGGTTCAGCAGCACCCCCAGCGCTCTCTGGCAGCGGGCACAGCGCTTCTCCCCGTCCACCTCGCCCGGGCTCTTGGCCCCTTTCCACCGGAGCTGCTGCAGGTGGGTCTTCAGCTTCCTGTCGGCACAGATTGAACGGGTTAGAGACTTGAGTGGGCAGGCCCAGAAAGACCCCTTCAGGGCCTTGAGCCCCCAGAAGCATCGCCCATGGAAGGGGGCCTTTGACAACAGCCCTGGACCCTCGACAGCAGCAGTGTGACCTCTCTAAGCTGGGGTTCAGGTGGAACAGAGATGGTGCCACCTTATCTGGCAAAGCACAACCGCTCACCTGGGAGGTACTCGGGCAGACCACCGCAAAGCCAGAGTCCCCACGAAGCTTTAAGTCTTTATAGGAAAGAGACCCTCCGCTTTCTTACTGGAGAAGCTGGTGGGTTCAATCCACCCACCCTATGGAAGCAGCCCAACACGTGACCTACTGCACTTCCAGGGTTTTTTCCTAACAGGCTCCAGCAGTCTGTGTGCGCTGGGAGACCAAAAAAGTCCTGGGACCTGAGGTTTCACTGTGCTGCTCGCTCACTGCTGTCGTTGACTCGGGCCCAACCTCTCCAAAGGCTGCCTGCAGTGTACTTGCTGGTTGACCAAAAACCTTCACTTTGGTTGTCCAAAGTGTGTGTGTGTGTGTGTGTGTGTGCGTGTGTGTGAGAGAGAGAGAGAAAGAAATGGACACGCCCTTGCCGACATGCATAGATGGGCAACACTTGCAGATGGAAAGGCCAGCACAGCCACTAACCAGGCGTTTTGTTTCCACTCTGCTGGGCACAGGCCCGAGTGGCTGCTCTGGGATCAGTACCAGAGAGTTTGCTGGCAGAAGACAGACAGGAAGGAGTTCCCTGTTGACAGAGCCACCGCAAACAGGCTGAGCAGGTTCCTACTCCAAGTCTCCGTTCCTAAAAGCTGACCAGGAAGGAACAAAATGAAAAGGCCAGAGAACCCGGCTGTGCTCACCGTTCCTACGCTCTCTGCTTCGGGTACGCCTTAAACAGGCTTCAGACAGCAGCACTGAAAATGAGGGAGGAAAACTCCAGCCCTAGGCCTTTTGCTTCGAAGTCGACATGCTCCCCACAAAACAGGCAAAACAGAAAGACAGCAGGCGTAGCATCAAAAGGCACCACCTCTGCACTTAGAAAGAATATTGGGAAAGTGAGCAATGTTTATATTCAGATTTACCTCCATTAAAAAAAACACACACCATTTCTTGTCACTGATAAAAGGATTTTCTATTTCTTTTGGAGGCTGAAATGTCAGGAACTAAATTAACAAACAAAGGAGTCCTGTTGGCACAACGATTAAGTGCCTGGCTGCTCACAGAGAGGTTTCTGGTTCAAACCCGTGCAGGGGCTCTTTGAGGGAAAGCTGTGACACTCTACTTCCTTTAAGAGGACCACTCAGAGCATCCCATGGGGCCATCCCACTAGGTCACACCAGGTCCCTTGAGTTGGAAACAAATCCACAGCACATAACAACACAAATTGCTCACACTCAACAAACTGTTACTCTTGGAACAAATGCTACGTCCAGCTTTTTTTTTTTTTTAAATTATTACTTAACTTGGGAAGGACTGGAGAGCATTATGCTGAGAGAACTCAGTCCCACAAGGATAAATATTGTATAAAACCATTATTGTAGAATGAGTATAAGGATCCAAGAGGGGTGGAAGAGGCTGGAAGCAGAAGGATGAGGGTGTGCAGGAGGCAGGATTAATCGTGGGGTTGTACAATTTGATGGAGGCAGGGTGAAGGAAATGGAAAGAATTTGTTCTTAAAAACAATGTATTTGGATTTTGTAAATAAACTAGTAGAAAATGGGGGGGGGGGGGAACCACAACACAAAAAGGTGTTATTTTAAAGAAAAAGTAAGGAGCTCTTCCCTTCTCCCTTCTCCCTTCTCCCTTCTCCCAGGGGCTTATCTCCCAGGAGGACAGGGATAACAGGGAGCCTGAAAATTAGAACAGCAGCCGGGAAGGTGAATGAGCCAGGTGGGACCTACCGTATCCTTTCCTCGTCCACGCTCCGCACCTCCTGGTCCCGATACAGCACCCGCAGGACGGCCTCTCGCTCCAGCTCCTTCAGCGAGCCCAGGCTCACCTCTTGGGCCATTTTATGTCCTTTTCTGGGACCTGAGTTTGAGGAATCTCTTCACCCACTTGTTGGCCTGGAGCTCCCAGCAGCCAGCCAGGTCTTCAAGCTCCCCTTGGCAACTCCCCTGGTGCCTGAGTCTTGCTGGTGGCTCTTTTCACCCCCTTGTTAGCTGAGTCTTGTTGCTCTGGAGAAGAGCACCCCGAGAAGCTGTTGTTCGGCGGGGGTCATGGTCCCACAGCCTGCAGGGCCAGCCAAGCTGCCCTCTGCTCCCACAGCCTCGTTCTCTGGGGCAGACGCAGTCTCCTGTCTGAGGCTCTGCCAGCGATTGTTGTAAAGCAAGCAGGCTCTGATGGTTGTAAAGCGAGCAGGCTTGGGGCAGATAATCCTGCAAAGCCTGGAGCCCCAGGCGCAGGGAATGTGAGCTGGCAGTGGAAGGGGTCAGTGGCCTTCCCTCTGGGACGCTGTCACTGTCCAGTCAGCGGGCACGGGCCGGCTTGGCCCAGACCTGCAGAAGGGACGACAGGGACAGTGTGAGTACTCCGGGCCGGAGGAGCCGCCTCCACACTGTGGCTTCAGGAGAGACCAGAAAGTCGCCACAGATGCACATTGGCATTTTCTTCCTGGGGCGTGACGAAAGACTTTAAATCCTGTTACAATTTTGTAAAGTCTATTGAGCCAGAAGCCAATTCTGACTCAGAAACACCGTGTGATAAAGAAATAAAATATATTCGACTCGATGGAACATAACAACAATTACATTTGAAAAATATTCTTAGCAGCCCCAAATGTCCAAACTAGTGCTTTTCTAACATCAAGTCTGTATCTTCAGAAGTTGTTAAAGTAAACAATGTTTAAGAAACAGCACAAGCAGAAAGACAAGCAGTTCTAACAGCCCACCAGCCGCTCTGAGGGGGAAGCACAGGTGGTCTCCACCCTCCAATGCACAATCTCAGAGACCAGGTGCCTGTCACCTGTCAGAATCCGCTTGGCAGACTATGCTAATTGAAAATCCACGAGAAGAGTAACGTGCTCAATGCTTAACTATTACTGTGGTTGGTCTCCCCCTCAACTCCACCCAACTGCCTTCAAAACTTAAAAGTTATTTTATCAACTGAGAGATGTGACATGCACAACCGTACCCTCAGCCTGTGCACAATTCCTGGAGGCTAGCTGTCATCAAGGATGGCTTCACACATCAAGTCCTGTGTCTGTCTGATGTTAGTCTGAAAAGTCCTGCACCCACCCTCCCTGGTCTCCTCTCAACCTGTGGTGTTGAGCAATGCAGCTTCCTGTCTGCCCCTCGCTGACCATCAAGCCCACTGGGAACCAAGGAGACCACAGAGAACAGATTATACGACAGAGTACGTCTGTCAAAGGTCCCCTCGCTGCACTTTCTGCAGGGCAGTGCCGGCGATCAAACGATGCAGATTCCCTAAAATGATTCTGCTTCTCAGTACGTTAAAGACGAAGTTCCCTGTGTTGAGCTTCTACAGAAACCCACATTCTATTCATTTATGATCCATGGCAAGTTAGGAAAGGAGAGGGTAGCAGAGTGTTTTAATTTTCTGGCTGCTGGTGCCAAGACAATGAATACCCATGAACTTGACCTACAGAGAGACAGATGCAGCCACCAATGTCAGGAGTTATGATGGAATGCTGATCACGTGAACAGAGAGACAGGACAACAGTCAAGGCAGAGGTGATCTGGGCCATATCTATCTGGTCAGAGAAGGGAGCTGGCCTGGGGAACAGCGGGAAGAAGAAAACAGACAAGAACAAGGAACCTTTATTGTGAACAACCTAGACACAGAAGCATGCCATTCTCCTCCCAGCAGAGTAATCCAGCTTTTCCATAACTAACTGGTGGCCTAATGCGCAGGGTGTTTTGCTGCCAACCCAAAAGTGCACAGTTTGAATCCACCAGATGTTCCCAGGGAGGGAGATGGGCAATCTCCTCCCACGCAATTTACAGCTTCTGAGAACCTGCTGGAGGGCCAGCTGTGAGTTGGTCTGACTTGAAGGCAATGAGTTGTGGTTTCGTTGAAAATACTAACACTCCCTGACCCAGACTCTCTGCTTCTCCATTCTCATCCTCCGCGAAATGCCCCCGTGCTCCCCACCTTGATCACATCCTGGACTGTTCCCTGATCACATCATACACTTTCTCCCCTCCGCGCACTTGTTCAGGTGCACCTTCGGCCTCGTGAAGTCTCACTTATCCTGAGGTGTGAATTTTACTTGATTCATGTCTGCTCTTAGTATTAGCATTATTGCTCTCATCCCGGGTACAGATCCAGAACGAGCTCATTGAGGAAGCTTGCTTCCCACCTACAATCGCAGTGAAATGCTTATCACTGACCCCTTTGCACCTCTGTATATCTCTACTGTGACTCTGAGGTCATCGTGGCATGTGTGAGGGTGAACGTGTCCTTCAGAGCAGTGACCTTGGATGGTAGTGACCCCTCTGCACCGTCAGTGTTGAATGTCTGGAATTGAGAAACCAGGGGAGGGTTGCCTCACTGAGCTCACTTGCCTCAAGCAGGAAGCTCGAATTCAAGCCAACTGAGAAGGAAGGAGGAGGGGCAGGTGAACGCTCTAGGAGAAAGGTGGCGCCTTCAGAAATCTCAGAAGAAGAGACAGATCTGAGCCATTCCCGGAGTGGAGGGACACACAAGAATGCTTTTATCTTCATGATCTCACGCAGAAATTCTCAATCTCATCGTCTGAGGAATAAACCTCCTGGATCTGGCCATCTTCTCAATGTCCCAATAGTCTCTACCAAATTTCCTCCTTCGTCCAGGCACTGGGCCAAGCAGTGTCCTTCCCACCAGCAGCTTAGAGCCCAGTATGTAGTCTAGGTCTTCATTCTGACATTCCCTTAACGGTGGCTGCCTTTCTCCATCTATCCTTCCACTTTTATTTTGCAATTTAGAATTAGAGAAAATTAATACCATAGCACCTCTATACTAACGCTGATTAGAGAACCCACAGACATAAGCTGTTTCACCTCAACCCTGGTTTTGGGATCCAACAGTCCAAACCTTGGACTTCTTAGCTGTGTGCTCTTGGTCACTTTTCATCTTCCTTGGACCCACAATCCACACACTTGGTATCTGCAGTCAGGAGATCAAGAGACCTATTGTATAGCAAAGAGCTGGAAACAGCCTAAGTGCCCATCAACAAACGAATGATAGAGAAGCT